AGTGGATCCTGTGAAATATGGAATCCCCGATTATTTTGACATTATTAAAAAGCCAATGGATCTTGGCACGGTTGATGTGAAACTCAATAACGTTGAATATGAAAACGTTGATGCATTTGTGGCCGATATCCGGCTAATTTTTTCAAATTGCATTCTATATAACGGCCCAGTACATCAATATGCGATTTATGCTAAAGAGCTAGATAATTTTTTTATGAATCTCCTCAATAATCTACCTAGTTCAAAGGAAGAGGTGAACACTCAACTTTCAATCGATGTGTCAAATTTCATTTTCTTAATTTTTTCCTTCTTTATTTTAGGTTCTACCGAAGCCTGTTGCCGAGTCTTCTAGCAAAGCATCCAAGACTTGCAAACCAATCGCTGAAACTTCAACAGCGACAACCACGATGACGATGACGACGACGACGACGACGGCAAAGGTTTCTTCCGAAGCTAAACGCCCCAAACGAACGATCAAAGCACCTGCCAAAGAACTCCCAGATACTCCAGCAATACGTCGTAAAAAAAGTAAAAAGAACATTGAACTTAATTTTTGTCGACAAGTTATTCGCGAATTGCGAAAGAGGACACATTGGCATTATGCCTATCCATTTTATGAACCTGTCGACGCGGAAAAATTGGGTGTCCCTGATTATTATAAGATTATTTCAAATCCTATGGATCTAACTACAATCAATTCAAAGTTGGAAAATGATCAGTATACAAGTGCGGAAGAATTCGAGGCTGACATTCGCTTGATGTTCCAGAATTGTTATACCTACAATGGCGTTGGTAGCGAGGTACATAACATGGGCAAGATGTTGGAAGAGGTATTTAATAAAAAATGGGCTGAGAAACCTACTTCTCAGGCTCGTTCAATGACAAAGACCGATGATATGAAGGATTCAGAGAGTGAATCAGAAGCGGACGAAAGTATGTTTATGCTGTCATTCTTCGCATCATGTTTAACAGGATCTAACCCTCATCCAATTCGTAACAAACAGGTGATCATTTGAAAGCATTACAGAAGCATTTGGCCGCGTTGTCGAGTCAAATTTCGCAAATGAGGAAACCATCTAAGACAAAGACGAAGAAAGCCGCCAAAGTTTCAAAGATCGGTTCAAGCAAGATCGTTGAGACTAAGATGTCAAATGATGGTGAGAAGAAGTCGCTGAAACGCCCCAGGCCCGCTACCAAGTATGATGACGATGTACCTTTGACGGCAGATCAAAAATCAGACCTCAGTCAAAAGATTGA